TAACACATGACGGAGCAATGTGTCAGATAAATATTCACATAAAATGGGGTGTTCAATGTGGAAATCCCTGGTTATTAATAAACTTCTGACGTCATGACCTCCGAATAGCTCTCGCTTGGCTTAAAATGTGTAAACAAACCCAATGACCTCTCATTTCAATGCATATTTCTATGCATAATTTATGCTTGAAATGCACCTTGATGCATATCATTGTAAACTTTTGACATTAAACTTTTATTCCATACCCAGAAAGTTTCACAAACATGTGAGCATGTTTTTATTTTTATCATTGAAAGGGAGGCATGCGGATTTCCTTTATGTGCTTTTTTTCAGCCTTTTGACCTTCACTCTATAATTGTGACCCTGATCCTATGAAAGTACAAATATAATGATGACGTAGAAAAACTTGCGCGCCATCTAGCGTTAATTCAGGTAATATATGGTTTTTTGCACGCCATCTAGCGACAATTCAGTGAATAATCGTTGGTTTTGCATTGGTGATCGTTGGTTTCGCATCGGAGTCTGTTGATTTTGCAAACGAGTCTGTTGGTTTTGTTTTTAAGGTTGTCTGTTTTGTATTTCATTATGTTTATAAAATTAGTTGTTAGTTTTGCATAAACGTCTTTTTAATTTACCCTTTCCGCCGCCCATACTTTGACTCTTTCCACAACAAAACATTCTTCCAAATTGTTGTAAATAGTCCTCCTGGCCCTGATATTGCAATCATCGCACATTTCGCTTACTGCCATATTGGTTTCAAAGATAATTCGGTCCAATATGCTTCGTTCAGATGTCAACTACGAGAGAACTTGATAGAAAAGAGAGTAATTTTTTGAAATCTTTCATTTTTTGCAATTGAGGTAAGAATTTGGAAAAATTAATCAAGAATCGAGCGCACTTTTTTGTGCGCAATAAATATACAGTTTTTTCAATGGGTGGCACTGTAGCTCTCCGGTCTATCAATATATATTTTTCGGAGAGCTACAGATCTGCAGCTACTATGTTACACATGTATACGAGTACAGTCAAACATTCCGTAAAACCTGCAGGTAATTCCAATCACAAAAGAATCTTAGACAGAGATACCGGCGAAAAACTGCTCCCTCCATGCAATCAAAAGCATAATTCTAATGCATATGCTAATGATTCAATTTTATCCTCTATTTTGAAATGATAATGAATGCTGAAACGTCTATGCAGTCTTACCAGCTAATTGAACGTGATGAGTCAAATAATTCTTACCTGAATAAAAAGAAATACCAGTGATGTCAGCACGATAAATTCTCACCAATAGTACGGAAACACAGTAGTTGAAACTAACAATTCACATGTACCTCCGACAAAACATGCTTACTGTAACAGAATGTTTACGGATATTCCCACTTTCACTTCTATTTTAAGATTTTCCGGAACCTAACCCCCCTTGCAGTAAGCATGGTAAGAGTACTAGTATTTTAGGTCAAGTGAGGCGAGTCTGTGTTCGATTATAAAGATTGTAAATCTGTAGTGTTTGGAACTGTGCTGGAATCCGCATTCTTGAAATGGAGTGAACCACCTTCCTACGAAATAGTTGTGTACGTTGGGTCTGAACAAATGTGGACCGGTATGTGACTTTATTTATTGCACCTATGTACATGAATGAAATTTGCAGAGATTTAGAAAAGTTTTTAGACGTTCTTGTTACAAAGGGTAAGTAAGAAAATACCGAGTATTCCTGATTGTTGAATTACAATTAAAGATAATAAGTAAGTTAATATTATAAATCTAAACCAGTCCACAAATGAATTCAAATAAGAATTATTCAGGATAAAACAAAACATATATACACAGGAGATAGAAGTAACTTGACTGACCTACTTCTGTTTTTGCACCTGTTTTCTGGGCCTTCTGCGCGCGTCTGTTTTCCCCTTTACCTGTACATGGAAAACGTTTGATACATTACAGCCTTTTAATTTTGTTCATGTTTTATGAGCTTATTTATCAGAACAAAATATTTCATGTTCTTTTGAATTCATAGTAGATTATTTATTCCTGATTCATTGCATGACACAGTGCATTCATTCATCTGTAAACCACATTCCTCGTAACGGGAAATACAGGTGTAATATGAATAAACTAAGCGAAATAAATATTGAAAATTCATAATAGAGAATATACATCACATGCATATAATTCAGTTTCTTACAGTTAACACCATGGCCTGTATATTTTTTAATATACCCGTACATTTGTTCAAAGACCCGAGAAAACTTACTGTTAAATTTTGATAACATACGAGTATGTCCATTTTTTGCACAAGCATTATAAATATTTATATTTAAAAAAGTTCATTATTTACAAATCAAAAGTTCCTGTAAACGATTCGTTATCTTTCTTCAACCTTTTCCCATAGCGGGACTAATTATTAGCTTGAAACCATAAAATTTACATACAAAATTCAAAGATTAATCAATCAATCTGAAAAGTAATTGAAAGGAATGATAAGGAATGAATGTTAATAAAGATAGAATGAATAACATACAATTTTTAATAAATCAAAATATTTTTATTAAATCTTGTTTATCATATTAAACAAAAAAATAAGAAAAAGAATTCTACAAGTTCCTCCAGTTGAAAATGTACTAAATAGTCTCAATATACATACTTAAATATATCTTATATTTTTCTCAGAGTCCAAGAAGCACTTTTTTTTTGACTGTTTAGAGCATTTTAGAATAATAATAGTTGAAGTATAAATAAATGAAGAATATAAGCCACGCAATGGATCCGATCCGTAAATAACACGTTGGTTTTTTTTTTTTAGCAGACGGCTTATCACCGACATTCTAAACGTATCAAGGCCGCTAAATTTCGGGGCATTATTGTAGACACACCTGCAAACCAACCTTACACATTTGTCAGATGGATTGTAAATGCACCCCACATTTGAGGAATTGACATCAGGTACATGCATACGGTAAGACAAGTGTTTTTTAAATAAGTCAAAAAGAAAAAAATCTCAGTCAAGTAATATTTTTGCCATTACGTTGATTTTATCTGGAGCAAAACGTCTCGTTCTCTTGTGCAAAATACGACAGGTTTTAAAGAGAAATTTACAGTAAACAGGGATAAGTTACGTCTACACTACATTACCAAACAACTGAGGTCTATTTATTTTAATCTTCGAAACCTTTTTATAAAACACCGTGAAAAAAACATTTTATTTCCAGAAATGTCAGATATTAAATCAATGAGATTATACTTTGACTCTAACGGTCATAAGAAATGTACTGCTACATTAACCATTGATAGCTAAAAACATGTCCATAGGACATGACTTCCCCGCCAAGGGTACACTGGTAAGACAACATAAATATTGGTATGAATATATGATTCAGAAATATGATTATTGGAAAAAATAAAGAAAAGTAAAATCAAGGTCATACATTTTGGACACAGCTGAATAGTTCTCACCACAACATATATCGAGTATACATGTATTTGTTTAGATAACAATATCTCGAATAGTTTCTTTGAAACTGAATAAAACACAAATTTAAGAAAAGTGACGTCAAGATCAATGTTAAAGGTCAAAGTCAAATATTTTGATGCAGTTGAATTCACAACAGTGCATCAGCTTAATTATGAGGATTGATATATCTTGATTTGTGTTTCTTGAAAACTGAGCTCAAACATAGATTTAAGAAGTTAAGTCAAGGTCAAAGGGAATGTCAAAGAAACAGTTAAATAACACCCTCACTAATATGTATCAGCATATTGTATGCAAGATTTAATTTCAATCAGCATATACAGTTTATACAGTTTGAAATAATATCTCGCATATTTTCTTTGAAACTGAGCGGAAAACTGAGGTCAAGGTTAAAGGAAAAGTCAAGGTAACAACAAGCATCGCAAGAAATCTTGAATATTTAAAAATTTCTTCAACTATTCAAGGTCCAGCATGGCTGATAAAAAATTCACATTGTCTTTTGAGAGTTGGGTGGACAAACTGAATGGAAAATGGACTCCTCTGGTTTTCCTTACGTTGGGCATATTGGCTTTTTTGTACCCCGTGTGTTTTAATCCAATTGAATGTGCGTTTCCAGCCGAGTTCACACAAGCCATGGTTGATTATGGAAAAGCTCGGTGTTATAAAGCTAGAGCAGTAAGGAATGTGCCGGGGAAAACCAGCGATGACAATGCCTATCATTGGGTTTCTGTCAATGATGATGATCCTTCCGGTGAGACAACTGTGTACCAATATGTGTCTCTATTTCTGATTGGACAGGCTATTATTCTTCGAATTCCGTTTATGTTGTGGAATCTGACAAAAAAGAAGTTGGGGATCCATTTTATTGTTCAGACAGGAAGTGGAGAAAAAGACGGCAAATTTGAGGGCAAGAGACTCGCCATCTACATCTACCAATGGATACAAAACCGGAAAATTAACATTTTATCTCTCGGGGCATTTACGATATTGCAATGTTTTATTAAATTAACGTATTTTATGAGTATTTCCATCCATTTGGGATTTTTGGATTCTGTCCTAAAACAGAACAACGAAATCGGCTTTGGTTCCTTTATAATAGGAAAGTTGAAGGGAAACAATTTGACTGTTCGCAAACCCTCTCCATTTTTTCCTCAACACATAATGTGCAATTACACTTATCATGTTTACCAGCATACTAGAAAATATAGTGTTCAATGTACCTTGACCCTGACTACGTTTTTGGAGCAGATGGTGGCGGTGGCTTGGTTGTGGCTAATTTTTTGTCTCTCCGCCACTATAGCTGATGGTATATTTCACGTGTTTGGTGCTGTCCTGCCTTTTTTCAGAGTCTGGTAAGTTTGGGTTTCAGGTCATGTATTTATTCAAAAATCGTAAAATTAGCAAATCATCAATATCATAATATAATTACATGTATATACAACCATGTATGCAGTGTAAAGGACAATATCTGGGAAATTCATTTTTCCCCTCCGAAATTCTGCAGTTTAAGATTTAGTTAGAAAACAAAGAAATGACAAATTCATAGTGTGTTCGTCATTTTTTATTGTCAGTTGAATAGAAATTCCAAAATAGTAATATAGACCTAATAGACACTACAGAAAAATTTCAAATTAATGTTGTGAAATTAATGTTGTGGAATAAATCGCAACATTTTAAACTGCAGGAACAAAATATATGAATCAATAAACTAGTATATTATTAAGTAGATGCACTAGTTTTCAACATTTCTTTTTATTTTTGTTTTGAAGGTTTGTGAAATCAAATCTGATAAAATCAGAGCTGGGAAATTCAGAACAAGCCTTGTCAGACCGAAATATTGAACGATTTTCTTCAACCTTTGGAGAAGATGTAATTTCCTTTTTAAAGCTGGTTCAAGATAATGAAAGCGGAAGTGTTGTCATGGAAACTGTGACTGAGTTATGGAGGATGTATCATGGCGACATACAACACTCTCCTGCAATTTCATCAAATCCTGTACATTTGAGAGCTGCTTTGTTGAACCCTCATTCACAGCAGTCACATAACCAGCTAGAAAGTTTCCAAAAAGGATCAGAATCGAATGAAGGTCAGGGTTATCAACCGACAGCGCCGTTGTTACATCCGGTCTATCCAACTAGTGCATTATGACATATTTTTAATTTTTCATTGAAAAAAAACGAAATGCCTAAAATATGTGTATATAACGTGGCATTCGAATTCAAGTTCTTGATAAATAAGCTTTAGGTTGTATGAGGTATATTTCAGCTTTCGTTCTTGGAAAGGAATATAACTATCAGTGGAACGATGCAGGAAATATTGTGACAAGAAAATCAGAGTTTGGAAGTAATTTTAGATATTAAGTCTAGTAGTAATTTTGCATAGGTAATAGGGCGATAAGCTTCTGAAGAATCTTGCAAATTTTTGCAAAACTATTGCATTATTTTTATCCCTCTTCTTGAGCGGCACATGGTATCGAGGAAGGGGTGGGGGGACCTGTCCCCTTTTTTTCCAAACAGTATTTTACAGTTGAAAACGTTCATCGAAAGGCTGCTTGTCCCATCTTAGTTGTACTTGCAGTGTAGTTTTAATCATGATACTATATACTGTAACGAGTACTAGTATTGATAAAATTTGGTTCATTATGGAAAAAGTTAATGGTACAAAACATTACCTTTTAAGAAATGATTTAGCCTTTCAAATACCCAACGATCTTAAAATATAATAAACGACCAATGAATAAATTCCACTTTTAGAGACTGAAGAACAATAGAAGAAGGGTATTCGACAAAACAATTTACAAAAATATACTTTTTTGGATGGAATACTGTTGGAGTCATAAATTCATATGATCAAAACTTTATATTACATTGTTGCAAATTGTTAAGATTACTATCTTTGCTTCTGTAATGTATTACAAAAAGATGAAAGACTTTTGGCCTATCTGAGCCCCTAACCCGAGGAGTCAGAGCCTTTTGCGCAAGAAAGATTTGGACACCTGCGTACAACTCTACAATTATTCCCTTACTTTTTCTGAAAATCTGAAGTCAATATCTTGAGTCGTTTTGGAGGAATTTCCAGGACAATCTAATAATCGAGATATAATTTGACGTCATCGACAAAAACTATTGATCATTAAGGAGTTAAAGATGAAAGACATTTGGCCCCTCTGAGCCCCTTATTTGAGGAGTAAGTCCCCTTTTCTTAAAATAATCTGAAAGCTTTTAATTATTCTGCACAGTTTTTCTTCAATATGTTTTTACAAATAATGAAGAGGTAAGAAGATATGAAACAAAAGGTGTCAAATTTTGTGCGATGTTTCTGAGACATTTTTGGGCCCTATTGATGTTTGACGCCTTTTGCGCTAGAAAAATTTGGACACCTGACTGCAACTCAACAATTCTTCCATTACTTTCACTGAAAATCTTGAGTTGTTTCGGAGGAGTTTCAAGGAGAAGCCGGCCCTCTGAAAATCCTCTCCAGATAGAAAGTGCATCATCATTGAAAAAAATTTTGAATAAGGTTCAGACCAATACCTATTAGACGTGAAGAGACCAAGAACTCGCCTGCACAAAATCGGTAAGAATAATGATAATAGGGAAAAAGAAACCGAACGAAAACAATAAATCTTCCGTTGAAAACAGAAGACCTCAATTAAAAGTAGAAAAACTAGATACGACTTCGCTACGAGCAACGAGTAGGTCTTCCGTTGGATTTCTCGGTAAGATGAGATATGATTTTGTCTGAGATACTACTCGTAAAAAGAGAATGACATTAAGTTTTTCTTCATTAAATTTAATTCTTCTGATTTATATCAGAATATCTTAAACATCTTTTGTTCAATATGGCTTATTAAAATAGTCCCCCTTTTCAAGATATATGGCATGAAAGATTTAGTATGAATGGAAATATTTCGGGGTCATCCATATAAATCCTTAATGGGGCCATTTCACAAAAAATTAAATGTATGGATATTTTTTAAAACATTATTCTGATCATCTTTTGTTCAATATTGCTTATAAAAATATTATTATTAGAATTTAACATTCTGGCCCCCTTTGACCCCTAATTAAGTAACATATGATCAAAATTTTATAATATTTTATTGCAAATCGTTTGATCATAAAAGAGTTAAAGATGAAAGACGAGCCCCTAATTTGAAGAATCAGCCCCCTTTTCTGATATCAAATGAAAGATCTTGTGATTTTAAAGAATTTTTGTTCAACACCTATTCAGAGATTTCTTTCCTTGTGGAGGTATGCTGAATGGAAATATTTAGGGGCCATCCATACAGGTCCTAAATAGGGCCATTTTTCAAAAAATTAAAAGTATGCATATTAATAAGAACATTATTCTGACCATCTTTTGTTCAATATTGCATAAATTGAAATATATATTGCAAAATATTCCTCCTTTTCGAGATATAAAGAATCAAAGGTTTAGTATTCTGGCCTTTTGTGACCCCTAATAACGTAACATATGATCAAAATTTTATAATATTTTGTTGCAAATCGTTAAGAGTATATCTTAGCCTCGTAATGTATTACAAAAATATTGATCATAAAAAATTTAGAGATGAAAGACTTTTGGCCCCTCTGAGTCCCTAATTCGAAAATCAAGCCCCTGTATCAAATGAAAGGTTTTGTGATTTTAAAGGCTTTTTGTTCAACACCTATTCAGAGATTTCATATCAAATGAAAGGTCTTATTATTCTGCACAACTATTCCTCAACATGTTTCAACAAATTATGAACAGGTTAGAAGAAACGAAACAAAAGGTGTAAAATTTTGTGGAATGTTTTAGAGACAATTCCATTACTTAAGCTGAAAATCTTAAGTCAATATCTTAAGGCGTTTCGGAGGAGTTTCCCGGAGAAGCCGACCCGAAAGAAGAAAAAGAAAAATAGGGATAAAAATAGAGAAAGAAGAAAATACTTAATATCTCGAGATAGAAAGTGACGTCATCGCTGAAAAAAATCCAATAAGGTTCAGACAAATACCTATCAAATCTGAAAGTTCAATGAAAATCGGCCGAGTTGTTACCGAGAACTCACGTGCACAAAATCGGTAAGAATAGGGAAAATGAAACCAAACAAAACAATAAGGTCTTCCGTTGGAGTCCTTAATAATGTGTATTGATGAACCTTATTCCTGTGCACATGAAGAGGGCTTATATAGGCTCTGCCTCCTGCCCAATCCGGTGATGTATTTCTTTCGTACTAAAATATGTTCAAATTAAGGTTTTTATTGTGTAAAAAATAGGGGGTCAAATTTCTGTGGGGGTCAATTTTCAATGTAGTAGAATTACTGGTCTGAAATGTTTTTCTACGGTCGAAAAATGACCCTACTTGTAGTAGAATATTGACTCTGTTTCATTTTTCTACAGTCGCCCGCGTGGCGCAGTGGTTAGAGCGTCTGCTCTGGAGTCGCGAAGTAAGGAGTCGATCTTTACGTCGCTGGTTCGAATTCCACTGTGGGACGTGGAGATCGTGTAAGCCGAGATCCCGTGTCGCAGTAGGTGTTGGCACGAAAAAGATCCCTCCCTGCTCATTAGCCCCGAGTGTCGAGCATAGGATAAAATTTGCAGCTCTCCACCGGCAAATGGTGGCGTCTCCATATGAGTGAAAATTCTAGAGAGGGACGTTAAACAATATAAAATCAATCATTTATTATTAATCATTTTTCTACATAGAAAAATGACCTCCTGGTCTATATTCCACAGAAGTCACTTTTCGTCGTTTCACTGGCCGGCCATGGATGCGCCTTTCCCTTTCCCGCTCCCCGACTTTTATATATATATAGTAAGTATATAGTCGTAATAAACAAGGAAATGTAATATAAGTTTGATCCTAACCCCACATCCACACACACAAAACGAAATAAGATTTTCGAGTTTGGACTTATCAAGTTTCTCAGTTTTTGATTTCAGGTAAGTTGATTTTTTTCCTTGCCCCTTTCAATAACGATATTCTCATTTCCAGACTTTCAACTCTGGCTGTCGAGATCGATAGTGGTTTGGGTTTTCCATATATCAGTGAAAAGAAATTTTATACAAATACAGTAAAACAATCCTAAAAATCTACAGGTAGTTTCAATCTCGAAACTTTATCAGAGATACCGGTGGAAAACTTCTCCATCCAATCCAAAGCCTTATTCTAATTGCACCTTTTTCTGTTTTTTTACACCTGTATCCCTAGCCTTCTGCGGGTGTCTCTTCATTAACCTGTACATGGACATTTGTACTCCATTAAAGCTTTTTACTTTTGTTCATGTTTTATGACTTTATTTACCATGCAGAGCAAAACATTTTAGTCGGCTTTTGAATTCAATGTTGATTACATGTATTTATTACTGAGCGAAATAAATATTGATAATACAAAATAGAGAATATATATACCAGTATATGTATATGATTCAGTTTTCTTGCAGTTAACATAATTTCAAGATGAAAGAATCTCTATCCTGTACATTAAAAAGTATACTCGCTTAGGTTTATAAAGACAATAAAACTCACTTTTAAAGTTGTGCTAAAATAAAGGTACATTTCTGCACATGCAGGTGCATCGAAATATTTATCAAAAAAGTTTCATGAATCAAAATTGGTTCATGTGACGATTTATATTTTTTGAACAATCTTTTACTTTTTAATAAAACATTGAAGTCATTCTGTGTGATAAGATTCCCATAGCAGGATTGAATATAAGCTAAAAACTATAAGATATACATACAAGAATAAAAAAATTTAAATCATGCAATGATTTTGAAAAGTAATTTGAAAGGAATTATTAGGATTGAATGGTAATTAGAATCGTCTCAAAATTATAAATCAAAGATTTTTTTTATATTTACACTATTTTGAAACTCGCAAATATGCTCAACCCAGTTGAGACTTTAAGGAAGCTCCAAGAACTATACATAAAAGAATTTTGTTTGAAGTTATGCAGTTAGAGTGATCTGTGCTTACAAATTAATTATTTTCAGTTACACAATTTATGATAAACTAAAATATTCTAATTAAACTAATTCATTATATTAAATAAGAAAGTAAGTAAACTAATTCATTATTTTCTTTTAATTTTCCCGATAAAAAAACGAAAGTGACATTCAATTGTCTCGGGATACCATTTTCTGCGAAACTGAATAATTCCCACG